GCAATGGTACGATCTCAGCTCACTGCAACCTCCACCTCCTGGATTCAAGCAATTCTCCTGCCTCAGCCTCTAGAGTAGCTAGGATTACAGGTGTGTGTCACCACACCAAGCTGATTTTTATATTTTAAGTAGAGACAGGGTTTCACCATGTTGGCCAGGCTGGTCTCGAACTCCTAACCTTAGGTGATCTGCCCATCTTGGCCTCCCAGAGTTGCTGGGATTACAGACATGAGCCACCACCAAGCTGGCCGGCCGACAGCGTTTTAAATAAAACCACCCCCTACAAAAACAAATAATTAAAGGCTGTTTATCCAGAGAATAAAATTAGGGGAAACTAAATGCAACGGACAAGAACAGCCAGTTGACCAAAATCCAAATGCCAGTCAGAATGACTAGACTGACTTCAAGAGAATAGAGCTATATCAGCCCACGTAGTGAATCAGCTATACTCTGATTAAACTGAAGAAAGACCATATTTGTGCTGAGCCACTTTTCTTCCCTGGCTCAAAGTCACTTACTTTGATGATCTTGCCCCCTAGCCTCTCTCTGTGTTAAAGTTGGCCTTCCTGTGTAGTTTTCCCATATATATTTACTGTCAGATGTCTGTGGTAATACTATTAAGGGAATTTAATACACTAGGTTTTTTTTCTTGTTTTTTAAATTTATTTATTTATTTATTTATTTATTTTTTCCTTTTTGTAGAGACAAAGTCTCACTATGTTGCCCAGGTGGGTCTCAAACTCCTGGGGCTTAAATGATCCTTCCCTGAATATGTCCCCTTGCCTGCCACCATGTAAAATGTCCCTTTGCTCTTCCTTTGTGTTCTACCACGATTGTGAGGCCTCCCCATCCGTGTGGAACTCTAAGTCCATTATACCTCTTCCCTTTATCAACTACCCAGGCTCAGGTATGTCTTTATTAGCAGCACGAGAACAGACTAATACACCAAGCTTTGTTTAAATACTTCCAACAATGAGAATTACTACCTCTTGGAGTGGTCCACGCCATCTGCCAGATAGTTTCAGCAGTTGCGGTATTAGAATTGCTCCTCAGAGGCCGGGCGCGGTGGCTCAAGCCTGTAATCCCAGCACTTTGGGAGGCCGAGGCGGGTGGATCACGAGGTCAAGAGATCGAGACCATCCTGGTCAACATGGTGAAACCCCGTCTCTACTAAAAATACTAAACATTAGCTGGGCATGGTGGCGCGTGCCTGTAATCCCAGCTACTCAGGAGGCTGAGGCAGGAGAATTGCCTGAACCCAGGAGGCGGAGGTTGCGGTGAGCCAAGATCGCGCCATTGCACTCCAGCCTGGGTAACATGAGTGAAACTC